AGAGACAGAGAGCACGAGAGGGAAGAGGGTCAGAGGGAGAAGCAGACCCCCTGCTGAGCAGGGAGCCCGATGCGGGACTCGACCCCGGGACTCCAGGATCACGACCCGAGCCGAAGGCAGTCGCTTAACCAACTGAGCCACCCAGGCGCCCTAGTATATCTACTTATTGATGGCCCCTTATTGAACTCATTAGATGTAGTAATTTTTCAGTTGATTCAGTAGAGAGGATCTTTTCATCAGAAAACTAGGATTGCTGTCGGGGCGCCCGGGTGGCTCAGTCGGTTAAATGGCTACCTTCGGCTCAGGTCATGATCCCAGGGTCTTGGGATCGAGCCCCGCATCAGGCTCCTTGCTCAGTGGGGAGCCTGCTTCTCCCCTGCCTGCCGTTCCCCCCTGCTTGTACTTGCTCTCTGTCTCTTTCTCTCTCTAGCTCTCTCAGTGTCAAATAAATAAATAAATTCTTCAAAAAAACCCAAAAAACAAAAAAACTAGGATTGGTGTTATCTTCAGGAGAATAATTTATTTTAATGCCAAAAACATACAATTGATTTTTAAATAGCCCAAATATCTTTATTTATTTTTAAAGATTTAACTATTTATTTGAGAGAGAGACAGAGACAGAAAGCATGCATGTGGGGGCAGGGGTGGCGGGTTGCAGAGAGAGAGGGAGAGAGAATTTTAAGCAGATCCCCACTGAGCATGGAGCTCAACGTGGGTCTTGATCCCATGACCCTGAGATCATGACCTGAGCTGAAATCAAGTCAGACACTCAACCGACTAAGCCACCCAGGTGCTCTGAAAACAGCCCAAATATCTTTAAAGGAAAAAGTAAGGTGTGCTGCATACAGAGCTCATCTAAGACCTTCCACAGGCCCCTAAACCTGTGCAGTGTGGGAGCCCAGATAGTACTAGAGTAGATTGGCTTTTGTGTTGACCCTTTCACACTGTACTTGTAATAAATGTGGGTGCAGGTAAACACTAGTCATATAACATAATTCTGTTTGTCCCTCCCCAGCCCCTCTGTTTTGTTTTAGGGGTTTTTTAAATTATTTGTTTTTGTTTTTGCAGATCTTTTCACAGATGCTGCTGAGACTGAAAAAATGGCCAAAAGTTTAGAAGATTCTGAAGGAGTCTGTTTTGTTCCATCTTTTAGTGGATTGCAGGTATTTTATTTATTTTTTTTCAGTCAGTGGCAACTACAGACATTTTTCTCCTCATACCCACACTCAAAATTATGTACCTGCTACTCCCTTACCTGAAAATTTGGGAACTGAGCAGTATGAAGGTAAAGGTATGTTCCGGGGCTGAGGAGCTGTGACTTAGCACAAATAGCATGAGAAAGCACAGCACATTCAGCTTAGAGCTCCACCCATGTGGAAATGAGAAGTTGGCAGGTTTGGTATAGAACTTTTACATAAGACTTAGCATTACTTTATCATAACCAAAAGTAGCCATTTCCCAGTGGGGAAAGATATATCCGTATATTGGCATTTTTTACTTAGAGGAAGTGTCCCACTGAGAATTAGAAAAATAATGTTAAGATTACACACACACACACACAGGTATATTTTGCAGTTATTTATTAAGTTTCATTAACTTTTAAAAAAAATCAAAATTTCTTTTGGTTAACTGTTGTGGTGGAGTATTGGTTACTTTGCCTAATCAAAAAGTGAACCCAGTAAGAGACTTGGCTTTGTAATATTTAACTTAGTATTTAATTGAAAAATCTGTGATATTGCCTTTGATTTTAGCATATTGTTATAAAGACCTTTAAAAAACTTTTCAGGTATATTATTATGAACAAATTCCTTTTTTTGGAAAGCTTATACTATTCTTTTAATCCTCCTCTAAATATGTTTCCTTTCAAAAAATAAAAATTTCTTTTACTTCTAGTTCATCCCATATTCAAGCAATCAGTTAAAAAAGCCCCAAATTTGAAAGTTTGGATAATATAATGTAGAAACTGATGAAAAAGGATTAGATCAGGGTGTTTCAAATCTCTAAAAATATCATATTTCCAATCTAGGCTTTTAATGGGCATTATTTTAATATCTGTAATAATTTCCTTCTATATACATTACCCTAAAGGACTAAAAGTTTATAAACTACATAATAGAGATTGCACTGTATCCTCTTTAGGGTGATGTGAGGACTGAATAGTATCCATCGTAGGACAGGGGATGAAGAATATTTGTTGGATTGAGGTTTCAGGAGGAAGCTTGAGATGAATAGTTGTCATCAGCCAAGGTAGGATTTAATTAGGCTACTGTGTATTCTTCCCTTTTTAGAAAAATATGCTCGAGGACTTAGTAGTGACTTTATCTTGGCAGCTCTGTTTTTAACTTCTGCCTCAGTCCATATGCTTGTAAAAATAATATCAAATATATGAGAAAAAGTATTGCTAAAGCCCAGAAGATTAGACAAAACTCTCAGCAGCTGTGGTTTTTAATTTCATGTTAATAAAAAAATGTCCCCGTCCTGCCATGTCTGCAGCCTGGCAGTATGTGGGGTTTGGGAGGGGTGGGGGAGGGCTGCAGACCAAGTAGTTCCAATGTAGCACTGAAACGCCTCAGTGGAAACCGAAAGTGAGTTCAGACAATACTGTGTTGATACTAAGCTATTTGAAAAATAGGAGGGAGATCACTGATAAGCGGCCTATGTCAACAACTAAAGAAAATGAGGGAGAGGGGAAATGGAGGGAAGGAAGGGTCAAGTATCTGCGATTCTGCCTTTAATTTTAGAATATTGTTATGGCCATAGATAACAGGGGGCAAGATATTAAAAGATCCCAGTAGCCTCCATTTCTCCAGGGAGTCTGCTGAGACGGGGTATCGGGAGCACTTTGAAGAAAGTGGGAAATCTAGGACAACCACTTCAGGATATAGCAAGGGGTGGGCTAGAGCATGGGGGCCATAACCCAGGGGTGGCCGCAGTTGGTGCAGGGCTGTGGTTTGTGGGCGGGGCTACTAATGGAGAGCATCCACCACAGGCGTCAGAGGCAGGAATCAGTGGCTGTCTGCTTAACTTGAAAGTTACCGTGATGGTGGCAGTGATAGGATGGACAGGACTGTGAACCAAGTGTCAGTTCGCAGAGGATGAGGAGTCGTGCTCCAATGAGGGTTCTTAAGTTTGCAGGGGACAGGCTTGCTTATCCCACCCTGAGAGGAGCTGGTGGTTCACTGGTATTGGAAAGAAGTCGGGCAACTGACTTTGCAGTTCTTAATGTTCTTTGTGGTTTCTTCTCTGTGGGTCTACTTTTCTCATTACCAGCACTGCTCTGTATTCTTTCTTCCTCATAACCTCTACTTAATTGTCATTATTTTCCTCATACTTTCTGCTTCTCCATAATTTGGAAATACACACAACCTTCTTCAACTTTGTGCCTTTTAGCTTCAGTTCCCCCTGTTGAGGGTCTTTTTCTGAGAAATCTGAGAATCTGACTGGAGTGCCTGGTCTTCTCAAGCATTGGACAGATTTTAAGTTTTAAGTTTCTAGAACTTAAATTTTAAGTTTTAAGAACTTCTCAGAACTGGTTATGGTTTAGGAGAATTTATTTACAGTAGAAGGAAGGATTCAGAAGGCACAGAAAGGGTTATGAAGAGAGTCAGTAGTGGGAAGGGTTTTGGTAAGAAATAATAGTAATATAAAATTGTAGTGAATTCTTACTCTGTGTCAGGCACTGTTCTAAATGTCATGCATTATCTCATTTAATCCTCAGTAACTCAGTAAGGCAGAAGATACTCTTATCATCCCATTCCAAAGATGAGGAAACTGATTTAGAGCTGTTAAATCACTTGCCTGGTCTCACACTGCTAGTGAGCGGCAGAACTGGTTTCAGGGCCCAGGTGCTCTGATTCCAGAGTCCAGGTTCTTAACCACTCTGCTGTACTGCTTCATGGTATGGTATAAAATATGACACTGGGAATACAAAATAGATGCCAGAGGAGTTTGTGTTTAGGTTCACGGTTGACAGAGGGCAAGAGGAATTAACCATCCTGCAAATCCCCAGCAGATTAGGCTAAAATCCCAGGGGTGACAAGGGCCTGTGGGGGCAAGCAGTCTATGCCTTGGTCATAGGTTAGCTTAGGTTAGCTTAGGTTAGCTTAGGCCTCCAAACAAAACTTTACCGAGTCCTGCTGTTCCTGGTTGGTTGATGGTCTGGGAGGCTTACTCACTGGGATTGGCAGTGACAGATTGGAAGTATGGCCGGAGGCTGTCTGCCCTGGCAAGGTGTGACCAGGCCCAAAGGACCTTGCCAGTGTTTTTCCCGCCATATCATCCCAAAGACAGACTCACTTGGACTAACTAATACAGGGGCATTGTAACCAAAAAGAAATTTTTAGGTTTCTTTGGAATTTGTTACCCCTCAAATTGGCCTATTACTAATTAATTGTAAATTATGTGCATAGTTATATTTACAAAAGTGATTTCAGGCCAGTCATACCAGGATTTTATGTGGTATATTAGAAGAAAATATTTTTATGCAGAAAATACATAGCACACAACTAAATGAACTGGCTGAATCTGATCTTTGTTTTATAGTATTATACCACCTGAGACAGGCCAGTGTGACTGTATAAATAAGCTTTCACTGAGTGAATCACCAAAACATGTTAATATATTTGAAAACAATCAGGATAAAATCATAATAGGAGGAAAATCATAGCTACAGTAAAGATAAGATGTAATATGGAATTTCTTCAGTTAAGTAATGAGGAAGAGTATTGTTTGTTCATTGATTAAACAAATGTGTGAGGATCCCCCGTGGGGGCCAGATGCAGTGCAAGGCCCTGGAGACACATAAGAATGAGTTTCCACAGGGAAGACAGACTTTTAGCAAATGTTCACACAAATATACATGATTATAAATATATAATGTGAAGCTCTAGGGTTCCATAGAAGTAATGATGGTGGCTTGGTCTTGTCTCTGGGATCAGAAGTTTTCCCAGAGGAATCTGAGCCAAGATTTGGAAGGGGAGTAGAATTAACTAGGAAAAGGGGTGGTAGAAAGTTTTCCAGGTAATGAGATGATGTCTCAAGGCCCTGAAGCTAGAAGGTGCTTTTCCTGGGGACCATCATTTTCTTTTTTTTTTTTTTTTAAAGATTTTATTTATTTATTTGAGACAGAGAGAATGAGAGAGAGAGAACACCTGAGAGGGGATAGGGTCAAAGGACAAAGCAGACTCCCTGCCGAGCAGGAAGCCCGATGCGGGACTCGATCCAGGGACTCCAGGATCATGACCTGAGCCGAAGGCAGTCGCTTAACCAACTGAGCCACCCAGGCGCCCGGACCATCATTTTCTGATAGCACTAGTACTTCCCTCTGTTGCGACCTCATATCATACATTGAAACCATTCTTCTGTCTCTTTCCTTGTGAGATTATGAGCTCTGGTAGGGGTCTTTGCTCTGCATCTTTGTGTCCCAGAATTGTCTTGCATTTCTGGGGATGCAAAGATGAATACAAACTTCATCCGACAGATACATAATTCCAACTCAAGACTTTGGCTCTTTTAAAGACAGAAGTTAGGCTGGATCATTTCTCCTATTAGGCAATAAGACTATTAAGCTAAGAAATAGAAGAGTTTGAATGTCTGACAATAGATTAGGTGTAAGTTATGACCCTGAAAAACACATATTCTGCCTTACAGTTTTTTATCTTATGACTAATGGATATTTTTTAAAAAACACTCTATGAAAACAATTCTGGTTTAAAAACTTCACAGATGGAGAAAAGGGGAAATACTAGGATTGCTTTTCATTTCTTCTTGTAAAGCTAGACATTTAATAGTTTGTTACTGTGTAAAAAATAATAATAATAATTTGTTACTCTTCTCTTTGTGTGAGTTCAGACAGAAGGTATAGCTAAGTCCAATACCTATGACTCAACCTTGCTTAAGTCCTATTAAAGAGTTACCCTAACAGTTGACATTTTTTTTTTTTAAAGATTTTATTTTATCTATTTGAGAGAGAGAGACTGAGAGAGAGAGCACATGAGAGGGGGGAGGGTTGGGAGGGTCAGAGGGAGAAGCAGACTCCCTGCCGAGCAGGGAGCCCGATGCGGGACTCGATCCAGGGACTCCAGGATCATGACCTGAGCCGAAGGCAGTCGCTTAACCAACTGAGCCACCCAGGCGCCCAACAGTTGACATTTTTTGAGGCTGTCATTTATTTTAAAACTACTTAACTCTAAGCATTCTTTTTTTCTACCATGGCAATGTCTTTATTGCATAATATGCCTTCAAGTCTATGCATATAATTCAGAACAATAATAAAAATTCTTCCTATCTCTTTCTTTAGGCTCCATTAAATGACCCCTGTGCATGTGCCTCTTTTATGGGTTTGAAGGCTTCCACCAATAAATACCATCTTGTACGAGCAATATTGGAGTCAATAGCTTTCAGGTACCAAAACCTGCCCTAAACTCTCCCTTCCCCATACAGTATTGCCATTTTCTTCTATTAATTTCTGCTAAACTAAACTATGAAATTTATTAATTTTAACTGAGTGTTTATACCTTTAAATTCATACTGTTTATGACATAATCTGCTTTTATTGCTAATTTCCTTAGCATCTCCTTTTTTTTTTTTTTTAAGATTTTATTTATTTGTCAGAGAGAGAGAGCATGCACAAGCAGGGAAAGTGGCAGGCAGAGGGAGAAGCAGGCTTCTCACCGAGCAAGGAGCCTGATGTGGGACTCGATCCCAGTACCATGGGATCATGGCCTGAGCTGAAGGCAGACGCTGAACTGACTGAGCCACCCAGGCGCCCCAGCATCTCTTTTTTATATGTAATAGTACCAGTACCATTTACATTTGATATCTGAAAATAGATGATTTTTAAAAATACAGTTGGCCCTTGAATACCATGGGTTTGAACTGTGCAAGTCCACTTACACGTGAATTTTTTTCAATAGATACGGTACAGTACTGTAAATAAATGTATTTTCTCTTCCTTATGATTTTCTTAATAACATTTTCATTCTCTAGCTTACTTTATTGTAAGAATACAGTATAAAATACATATAACATACAAAATATGTGTTAATTGACTGTTATCAGTAAGACTTCCTGCCAACGGTAAGCTATTAGTAGTTAAGTTTTGGAGGAGTCAAAATTTACACATGGATTTTTGATTTTGTGGTGGGTTAGTATCCCTACTCCCTGTGTTATTCAAGGGTCAACTGTATCTAAGTTCTTAGGCATAAAAGACTTAAAATTTGGACTTTCAGAGATTTTTTTTATCCTTACTGATAAAGGAGACTTTCAAAGGTTTTTGTATCCTTACTGATAAAGGAGAATTCTAATTATTCTAATTAATAATGCTTCCATTGTACTCAAAGATTGAATCACCAGAATTACTCTTTTTGTATATTTCCCTGTGGTCTTTACATTATGGCACAGTTGTAGTTTATTAAAATTAAGAATGTGGCTGTCATGAATATGGAACATTTGGAATGTTTAAAGTAAAAATGTGATTACAAAATGATTATTTTTATATTTGATGAATTCTATTATATGTTATTCATGTCATATCATCTTAATAGCTTTCTATTAAATGAATGCTTGCTTTAAATTTTTATTTGTAGGAAGGATAATAGATTAAATTTATTTCTAAATGAAAAATATGCTCCCTTTTATCAAGGTGAAAAGTACAAGGCCCTAAACCTCTTGCTTGTCTGAGCATTTATTATTGGCTTCCAGTTAGCATAATATATTTGAATATATTGGTTTAATGTTCTCTTTTGTATATTTTATAAATACCGTATAAATAAAACCATAGTTTTTATTTTTCTAGACTGGAAAAAAATAGAGAATTTTCTCTAAATAGTTATCTTGATTTTTTTACTAGAAACAAACAGTTATATGAGTTGATGCAGAAAGAGATCCATATCCCTGTGACAAAAGTCCGGTATGTAAACTTTGTTTTCAATAGATTTAATCAGAAATTGGAAGTGAGTGGTAACCACTATTAGTATTTTCATCATTATGATTATTCAGGATTTAAAAAATAAATTATGCCTAGTTTCTTTGCAACAAAATTCTTGGTCCTAGGAATTTGGAAAGAAAAGGGAAGCTAATTTTGGATTTATGGAGAATATAACACAATATAGAATTTAGGAGGATTCTAATATATGTATGTATATTATAAACATCTTTAAAATCTCTTTTTTGGATGTGTGGCTGTCCTTTTGGCATGGAAGCATCAAATTTTCTTTGCTGGTATGTCCAAATGAATTTTTTTGTTGGCTTAGTTTCCTTGGCCTGTTTTGAACTAGTCTTAGGACAAGCAGGGCGGGTGGGAAGATTGATGTTAGGGATAAGGAAAAGTGTTTGAAGATTACCTAGTGAGGACCTTTATCTTCAGGTCAATGGGAAGTGATATAATTTTGGAATTAAAAAGTTGAACTTAAAAAAATAAAATCAAGAATCTAAAAAAATATATGTGGCCCTTTTAAAAAAATTAATAATGTTTTTATGCTTCTGTTGGAATAATTTATCTCAAATATCTTACTCCCCACAGGGCAGATGGAGGAGTTTGTAAGAACAATTTTGTTATGCAGATGACTTCAGACCTGATTAATGTGAATATAGAGAGACCCATCAACTTAGACATGTCCTGCCTTGGTGCAGCTTTTCTAGCTGGCCTTGCTGTTGGTATGTGTGGATTTTATAAAAGCGAGAACTGTCTCGAAAGCTGTTTCTTGCCAGTAGCATTTCCCTTCCCAAATCACAGAATTATAGAGCAGGTCTGGAAAACCTTGGTGTTCATTAAGCTCCATACACATATGCACATAACTCACAAAATACTCCTTTGACCTCCTCTGTGGATGGGTCTTCCCCCACTCCCTCCCTCCTCACTTCACTCCTTCAGTCAGAATTATGAGGCAAGGAAACTTAATTTTCAACTGCTCTGTCTTCAGCAAAGGGAAAGTCTCTGGGTAAACTTCCTGAGTAGATAGGCTTTTCTTTGGCATTAGAAACCACTCCATTCTTTTACATATTGAAAATTTGTTGAGTACCTGCTACGTGACCGTCACTGCTGGGAATAAAGAGTTTAAAAGACATAGTCCCAGATGAACCATGAGAGACTATGGACTCTGAGAAGCAAACTGAGGGTTCTAGAGGGGAGGGGGCTGGGGGGATGGGTTAGCCCGGTGATGGGTAATAAAGAGGGCACGTACTGAATGGAGCACTGGGTGTTACACGCAAACAAGGAATCATGGAACACTACATCAAAAACTAATGATGTAATGTATGGTGATTAACATAACATAAAAAAAAAAAAAAAAGACATAGTCCCTGCTATGGGAGTCTCTAGTTACAGCCAGACAAGTAAACCAATTATTACACTTGCGTGATAAACCCAGCGAACAGCCATAGCTTTAAGCAAGTGGTGCAGGCTTCCCAGAGGAGGCTCAGTTTTGAAGGAGTTAGCAGACAGCCAGGAGAGGAGGTAAGGAGTCCTAAGAGGTGAGTGGTCCAATAAAGAAAGCAGCTTGTGCAAATGTCCCGGCCCATTACAGTAAGTGCTGATAGGGGAAGAGCAAGAGGAATGGCTTCAGAGGAACAGAGGTCCAGTTGTGGTAGCCTCCTCATACAGAGGGGTTTGAACTTAATCGTGAAGGCACTGGAGAGCCACTGAAGAATTTTAGGCAGGGGAGGGACATGGATAGATCTATATTTGAACAGACCACTTTGGCAGTTAGTGAGAGGATTAGTTGGGAGGGTGAAGAATGGACTTCAGGAGGCCAATTAGAGGGTTCCCTAGGAAGCAGGTTGCTGATGTGGGGTACTGGGATTATTTAATACCTTCCTGTATGGAAGGGAAGAATATTTGTACAAAACAGGATATTTTGTAGTTAAAAGTTTTAGGCTAATATGTAGCATATTAAAGTTACAAATCCAAAAAGTTTGAAATCTTGTTAAGTTCAACTTAAACTTTATTCTACTAAAAATCTGTTAACTTTGAATAAAATTGAAACAATCACTTTCATTTGTTCATTGATTAATGTGTGATTAATTCAAGTTGAAGAAAATAACTTTCCCTTAAATAATCATTTCCATTTACAAATTTAGTTAAATTCCTTTGTATATTTCAACTAATACACATTTAATACAATTCACTTTCTTTTTAGTAATTTCATATGCCTAACTGAGCAAGCTTAGAAGTGTAACAAAGAAAATCTTCTCAAGTACTTGAACAACTCTTGCAAAATGAATAAATTAAGCTTATATTTGCAGTAAATCAAATGCTCATAAACATTCTGATATTGTTTATAAAGTAAATCAAATTTTTCTATGCCTTTTCAGCTTATAAGACTAAATATGTCAGATTCTCTTGAACATTTTAAATACTTTAAATAACAAACACATACAGATTTTTTTTTTTAAGATTTTATTTATTTATTTGACAGAGAGAGCAAGAGAGCACAAGCAGGGGGAGCAGCAGAGGGAGAGGGAGAAGCAGACTCCCTGCTGAGCATGGAGCCTGATGCTTGATCCCAGGACCCTGAGATCATGACCTGAGCCAAAGGGAGATGCTTAACCGACTGAGCCACCCAGGCGCCCCCATATGACAGATTATTCTTAAACATGACACAGTGGCTTGAGCTTTAGCTATTTCGTCATATCTATACTTAATTTCAAACCTTTCTAATACAAAGAGACTTCACTAACTACAGGGAGCAGTTTTACCGTCTCAGAAAAGCTGAGATTTCTGGTTGGCTTGCTTCTCTTTCAGGAATCTGAGACTTGAAGGCTATGCACATCCTCTGTATTTTCAAAATTCACCCAGGAAATGAATCTATCTGATACATACTTAGTAAAATTACTTGAAAAAATTTGTATGTCCTGGGGTGCCTGGGTGGCTCAGTTGGTTAAGCATCTGACTCTTAATGATTTCAGTTCAGGTCATGATTTCAGGGTTGTGAGATCGAATCCTGTGTTGGGCTCTGTGCTCAGTACAGAGTGCTTAAAATTCCCTCTCTCCTTCTCCCTTTGCCCTTCCCCCAGCTCACATTCTAAATCAGTCAATCTTCAAAAAAAATATATGTTGGGGCGCCTGGGTGACTCAGTGGTTAAGCGTCTCCCTTCAGCTCAGGTCATGATCCCGGGATCCTGGGATCGAGCCCTGCATCGGGCTCCCTGCTCCGTGGGAAGCCTGCTTCTCCCTCTCCCACCCCCCCTGCTTGTGTTCCTTCTCTCGCTGTCTCTCTCTGTCAAAAAATAAATAGAAATCTTTAAAAAAATATATGTATGTCTTAAAGAGTAAATAATTCTGGAAATAAGGATTTTAAGAACATGCTTATTTTCATGATTAGACTTATCTAACTTTAGTATACTAATAAAAACTATTTTTAGTCTTTTAATAACTTCTATAAATTAATATCTTTAAATATATAGATAAGTCTAAAATGCTGACTTTGTCAGTTAGAAAGAAAGTGGTCTGATAGAAAATTTGAGAGGAAGGGATTTTGTGTCCGCTTTATTGGTAAGAGAAAATATCCTTCAAGAAGACTTGTCAACTGTGTTAGTACTTCAGAGTAAGTGAAATATACCAGGTTAATTAATAAGACACCTCGGCCATTTCAGACTACTTATGTTCATAGTTATAAATGTGTTTTCTTGCTCCTTTTTATTATGAATCACATGATCCTCTTCGTGAAGAACCATATAATCATGAAGTGGGATTTAAATAACTTGTATGAGATACAATAGTTTGAAAAAGAAACTACTTATTATATTCAGTCCCATTTTTGAATTTATGCATATCCCAGGGAGTTGCCTCTTACCTCAAGATATATGACAAAAATTCTAATTTATCTTTGTTTTTTTTTTGAAAATATACAATTTCTTACTTGTTTTCTTTTCTTCATAGAAAGTCACGAAATTAAATGATGATAGGGAGAGGTTGGTCTAGAAATGGTTTGGTGCCCTGCCACACAGAAATAAAGCTGATAGAAACCAAATGATTTTAAAATCCTGGTGTATTTATTCCCAGGGATAGTCAATTTAACAAAATTCAAAAGCACTAAAATATTTTAAATTGTGTTTTAAAACAATAGTGCTTTACCTGTGCACCTGTTTGCATAGGTTTGTGGATAAACTTTATGGACTCCTTATCTGCCTTAAAATTTGAGAGTAATTTTTTCTATCTATAGGGTTTTGGACTGACAAGGAGGAACTAAAGAAACTGAGGCAAAGTGAAGTGGTTTTCAAGCCACAAAAGAAATGGCAAGAATATGAAATGAGTATGGAAAACTGGGTCAAAGCAGTGAAACGCTCCATGAATTGGTATAACAAGATGTAGCACTAACTGGAACGACTGAAACCATATACGGCTGGTTGATATGACACGCAGATGAGACACAGCTCAGGGATAATAACCAATACGACAATGACTGAGAAGATTTCAGATGAGCTTTGCAACCTGAGAGAAAAAACATTGCTTTTTTGAATACAAAACAAAACAAAAAATCCCTCATTTTAAAATCTAGACCTTGGTAAGATTGTAAGGCAACAGTACCTCAAAACTTTGTACCTTCTGTTTTTTAGGAAATTCCAAAGGACGTTAGCCATTTCCAGCCATATTTTGACAGCTATGGGTCCTCCTCCTTTTTATACTGGGTCAGCGATACATACGGACATAATTGTTTACTATCTGAGTTAATAGTTCTGGGTCAAGCATCATTCATGTTTTGTTCCAAAATTAACAAGTGTTCCTTTAATTCTTTAAAATTAAATGGGCTATATGAAGTTTGCATAGCTAGAAAGACAGACTCACTGAGGAAATGTGGAATTTTGCAACATTAATATTTTATATTTAAAGCCGTAATTGTTCAATACTATATCCAAATATGAGCTCGATATAGGCTCACATAAGCTTATTGTTAGTCAATTCTTTCCTTTATTGGGCTTAAAGACACTGCCTTAATTTTTCCTTGTTTCACCAAAATCTGAGCATTCTTTTTGTATTGAAAAAATAACTTTAGTGGATGAAACTACAAAGGGTAATGATTCATAAGGAAAAAGAAAATATTTTCTTTCTCAAATATTTGAAAGAAAAGGATTTCTTTCAAAAACTTCTGGCTAAAGTGTTAACATCCCATTTTTTACAAAATGCAGGTAGTGGATATAAATCTTGCTTTGCTCTTCCTGTTCTTTATCTTTGTTGTTGAGGTGCTTTGCATAAATGTCTTTTGCTTTTCTTAAGTGCCTAATTGACAGAGCTTAATTTGAAGGAAGTGCCCTAATTCATTGGTGACATAAGAATTGTCTTCATTGGGGTATTTTACTTATCCAGGTATCTTTTTTGGGGGAGGGGTTTCCTTTTTTTAAATTTTAAGTTCAATTAATTAACAGTATAGTGTATTATTAGTTTTAGAGGTAGAGTTCAGTGATTCATCCATTGCATATAACACCCAGTGCTCATTACATCATGTGCCTTCCTTCATGCCCACCACCCAGTCACCCCATCCCCCCCCC